TGAACGTGTTTTGCGCCCCTTCTTGAAACCACTTTAACGGATCCTGGATCATCCACAAAATTAGTTTCATCGTAATTAATAATATTACAGGGGGAAATACCTGCTATGGATTGCTCTAAATGTTGGTAATATTCCTGTATCGTCTCGTAGCTTAATCCAGCTCGGACCCGCTTGGTGTTCTCTGCTAATTTTATAGTTAGTTCCGGATGTCTTTTCATGAATGTTTTAAATTAAATTCCAGGCCTGGAAGATTGTCTTTGAATCTTTTTTTCAGTCACCCTTGTTAAGATATTGTTGTACTATTCCCCGGATATCATTTGATTTCAAAGGAAACCCCCACTCCTCGCATATTTAAAGTGATTCCTTAATGCGTTTTTCTTGTTCGTTATTTAGCACAGGTTGGCGCCCATATTTTAGAGAATAAGTTCCGTGATATCGCCTCTGAATTGTGCTAAACGGCACGCCACAGTGTGTTCAGGGGCTTGGCGCGTGGACATGCTGCCCCGTCGGACCGCCGCACCGCCACTGCTCTTTCCACGTAAGTTTTGTCACAATTGCATTTGCCCTGAGGCCCCAACTTTTTTTTGTAGATTCTAGGCATCCTACAAAAAAACAGCGCAAAAATTTATTTGGTAGGTAAGGAGGGGATAGGAGTAGTTGTTGTAGTCTCCCGAACCCACCCATATAGATATAATTTCAGCAAAAAAACAATTTTTTTTACTTTTTACGGCTGATTCATTTTACCCCCTACTTTGTTCATTTTAGGTTAAATAATTCATAGACATGCAACCGGTATTTAAAATAAAATAAGAAATTCGGGAATATGTAGCCTAGATGACTAGGCTACACCTCTTATCAGTCATATAACCCCAACACATGCGCCCTTTTACTTACAACTAAACATTTTCGACTTTACTCATGCAACAAATTGCGCATTTAAAATAATACGTTCAGGTACCACTCATCTGTTTTCGAGTCGGCGCGACGCTTCTCCTTCGGTAGCAGTAAACATACTAACATGCAGCGTTGTTCCAAGCATTGAAGCTTTTGTATCGACCGAGTCTGTCAAAATGTAATGTTTTAGTAGCGCGGGAAAATATTATTTTAAAATTATTAGTGTTTAGTATCGTATTCAGTAACAAAGCAATTTTATTAGTCTATTACTCATATATATTAGAGCATTGTAGAACTTTGTTTTAAATAAATTATTTGTTATTTAATTTAACATTAGAGACATATATGTACTTATAGATTTGTTTAAACATAAAATTAACTTTTTCTTATTATTCCGTTATTATTAAAAATAAAAAACACTGATCAAAATATTAATTATAAAAATAAAAAAACAAAAATAAAACATTTTTTTAAATTTAAAATGTAATTTCTTCATTGCACACAACTGTTGCTCCGTGTCCACCATCAGCTTCATGTAAATTGCGGCTCATTAGAGAACTATTAGGTTGAAACTCATAAAAATTTTTTCCATCCAGTAAAAATTTTGTGTGTAACAAAGAAGGCGAAATGGCAAATTGTGCTCCGTAAGAAACATGACCATTTTTATTTCACCTTCCTTTATTTCACGTTTTAGTTTTTTCCTTCTGGATTTGTGGTTGCAAAATTTGAAATTTTGCAGGAAGAACTCACTACTTGCATTTTTGCAATGTGTTTGACACTATTTGCATGTCTATTGACATGAGTATAATTCCTCCAGTAATAATTTTATTGCAGGCTTTGCAAAATGTTTGCCCCGTGTCTTGTTTTTTTGATAACCAAGCTACGTTTTCTTTGGTAATCCACGAATCCTTAAAAATTTGGGTGAATTTCTTTCTTTTTAATTTTCGTCTTTACTTGTTGTTGTTGTTTTCATTACTATCACTATCAAATTATTCACTATCACATGTGTCATCACTAACATCAACTTTTTGCTTATTTTCTTTATTGTTTCCGTCACTATAAAGTACAGAGGGATTAATACGAACCATAAATCTTAAAAATACAATAAGAATCTTACAATTATAATGACGAATCTGCATTCCAATTGTATATTTTTTAATATTAATTTATCCACTTACCTATCCAAAGACATCCTTCTTAAATTGATACAATGACGATGATTGCGAGTTGCGATGCATAAATTAAAGAAATATATTGGGTTGCATGCATTAGAATTTAAATTTATATGACACTTGAACAATGGACAATGGACACTTGACAGTTTATGGAGTTCGACCACAGAACTACACATGCATAGATCACAGAACCGCAGAACACATTATACAGAAAGTTTCATTTGTTATTTTCGTGACAGGTTGACAACAAAATTGTACGATCAAACGAACTTAACTGTTCGATCGCAATTATACTAGGCGCCTCGCCTGAAGAGATCACTTTGATAAACTATGTAGTACCGCTTTAGGTGCTAGTTGATCACACATTTTATAGAAAAGAACGCTACTATTGCTGTTCCGTTCATTACCTTTTAAAGTTGCAAGAGTGGATATGAAACATTTTCAAATTGGGTTGGGATACCTACTCCTTTATATCTTATTTCTTAAAGAATTTTTGTTTTTGTGGGATTACTTATTATTTTGTAAAGGGAGGGAGTGGTCTCTTCGGGCGAGGCGCCTAGTATAATTGAGATCGAACTTCACAGTTAAGTTCGTTTGATCGTACAATTATACGACGGCGCCTCGCCCTCAAGATCACTTTGATAAACTATGTAGAAGTTTAAGACTTAGAAATATTACATATCCATCCTGTTGTTTTTAATAAATTACTGCCATCAGTGTAGCACATTTACTATGACCATGCACAAGAACTCTTCGTGTATGATTTAACAATATTAAACATGTATGAATGTATTCACAATTCAGTTGCTAAAACAGATTTTGCAAANCCCTCAAGATCACTTTGATTGAACTATGTAGAAGTTTAAAGACTTAGAAATGTTACATATCCATCCTGTTGTTTTCAATAAATTACTGCCATCAGTGTAACACATTTATTATGACCATGCACAAGAACTCTTCGTGTATGATTTTACAATATTAAACATGTATGAATGTATTCACAATTCAGTTGCTAAAACAGATTTTGCAAAATTGTTGTCTTCTACAACGGGACGGTTGTAGAATTTTGCAAAGACTTTTGAGGTTTTTGTCCAGCCTGCTGTTTTCCTAATAACATCCCAAGATACACCATTTCTAGCGGCTGCCGAGGTAGAGGCATGCCGTGTGGAATACGCTGAAAAAATCTGCGTATTTATTCCCGCTGCGTTTAACGTTTGTTTAATCCATCTGCTAATTGTGTCTTTTGATGCCCTCTTGTATGGATCCTTTGCTGTAATGAATAAATAGTCTTCTGATTGTGGTCTCCACTCTGACGTTTTTTCTAAATAGGATATGAGTGTTGAAACAACACATAAATTAGGTTTTCCAGTGAAATAAGGTACTTTAAAAAAGGGCTGCGGAGCATTATTCTTCGAGTTCTTCACCTGGTCAGTTATATATATGCATACTCCTTCGCCATCAAATATAATATTATCCACTTTTATAAGGTATAGTGTTTGTATTCTATGGCCTGTGGCCAGAGCCAATAGTGTAGCTAGTTTCTTTGTTAATATCAAAGTAGGTAATGTCTCGTCTGGTCCTAGTGAATCAATATAATTAATGACTATTTGGGGATTCCAGGTGGTATTATATCTTGGTTTTGTTGGTCTAAGCCGATAAACTCCTTTTAAAAATCTTCTTATTAAAATGTCTTTTCCAACTTCTCCAGGAAATATTAGAGAAAGCGCTTATCTGTGTTGATTAAGCTTGCCGTACGAAGTGTTCCCCTTTTCAAATTCTTTCTGCATAAACCTCAATATTTCTGATATATCTACCACAAGCGGATTTTTATTGTTTTCTAAACAGTAACTCCACCAAGATTTATATGACGTATTATATTGTTTATGAGTGGATTCTGAAATGGAGTTCAATGTAACATCAACTGTTTCTGCAGGATATCCCTTTTTTAAGAGTGCTTGCCGCACAAACTCCCTGCTATCAGGGTAAGCTTGGCATGAAGAGGAATGTTCATTCTAAAAGGAGAAGATAACAAATTAATGTCAGGCCCTAATAACACTGGTTCGCTAATTAATAATTTTTTAAATAACGGGTACCAAGGTTGCGAAGGCCAGTCAGGTACAATAACAATGCCTTCTGCTTCATCAGTGATGATTTTTTGCAATGTTCTGAGGATAAGTGTAAAAGGTGGAAAGGCATAAAAGAAATTTGACTTCCAAGAAACAGTGAAAGCATCAGCTGCTATAGAATCTGGATCTTTGTATCACGAAATATAATTGTTACATTTTGCATTTATCTTTGTTGCAAATAAGTCTATGTCTGGACACCCCAGTTTTTTGACAATACATTTAAAAGCAAAATCTGCTAGTTCCCATGATTGCCCTACTATCCCACCCTATCTATTATTGCTAACGGAATTCTCCTCGGAGGTCGAACAACTGGTATCGCGCCTGGTTCCACGTGAAGTTTACATTTTGTTTGAAATTTTCCTGTAAAAATATCTTTATTACACTGACAAATTTTTTTAATTCATTTACAGTTTTTACGCTATCAACTCTATTGATCAATCCAAATTTTATACAAGTTTTTAACCCTAATAAAGGAGTAGTTTTATTTCAGCTTACAACTATAAAATTTTCCATTAACTCCTTATCCTTTATTTTACAATTTACATTTATATTACCTGAAGGTTTTAACTTTGAGGGCCGGTTTCACCAATCTTCATTAAAGTTTAATGATCCGTTAAAATACAGTTAAAGGGACCATTAAGAATATGACAGTTTCACCAATAGTCGTTAAGATATAAGGAATTGTTAAAGCTTCGTTAAATTAAGGAACGAAATTTCAGCGATTAATATTTTAATGAACGATTAGAAAATAACCTAAAAATTGTTGAAAGTACTTAATTATTAGTTACATGTAATTATTATTAAGATGGGAGATTTTGACGTCGAATTATTGTATTTGGAATTATTAGAGAACGAGGTCCAAATTAATGGCAACATAAGGAAAAATATTTTTGAAGAACTGGACGATGGAAAATTTCTAGAAAGATATCGCCTGTCCAAAAAAGTAGTAATAAAAGTTTTAGAAGAAATTGAGCCTGCATTAGAATATGCAACAGATAGAAACTTTCCATTGACTCCTATCCAACAATTGTTGATAGCTCTGAGGTTTTATGCTACCGGATCGTTCCAAACAGTTATGGGTGATGTACATGGAATTTCAAAGGCAACTGTGTGCCGTTGTGTCAAAAAAGTTTCAGAAGCAATAGCTTCCTTACGAGAATCTTATATAGAGTTTCCACAAAATGAAGAATTGGGAACTGTCGCAAAAAAATTTTTTGAATTAGGACGATTTCCTGGAGTTATTGGAGCTTTGGATTGTACCCACATACCAATACTATCACCTGGAGGTAATATGGGTGAAATATTTAGAAACAGAAAAGGTTACTTTTCAATAAATGTACAAGCAGTATGTGATGCCAATTTGTTAATCCGAAACATAGTAGTGCGATGGCCAGGATCAGTACATGACAGTACAATTTTTAACAATAGTCATTTGAGTCTCCTATTTGAAAATGAGGGAATACCAAGAGGATTCATTTTGCTTGGTGACAATGGCTACCCTCTGCGGCCATTTCTTATGACTCCACTGTTAAACCCTGAAACACAGGCTGACCAAAGATATAACAATTCCCACAAAGCAACAAGGAATTGCATAGAAAGGACTTTTGGAATTTTAAAAAGAAGGTTTCCTGCTTTATCATTAGGACTAAGAACAAAAATTAATACATCGTTAACCATTATAGTTGCTATAGTAGTGTTACACAATATTGCTCGACTAACAAAAGATGAAGACCCTCCAGAAGATGCCGATTTACATAATAGTTTGCAGGAACGAAGACTAAGTGAACCAAATTACTTACTTTATCAAAATGTTCCAGTTGCACCAATATTAGATGCAAATAGTCCTGGTACAGCAATAAGAAATGCATTAATAAATAATCATTTTACTTAATTATATGGCATTGTTTAAGTATGTATTTTTAGAGTAGTTGTTTAATAAGTTTCTACATATTTATTTTACTTACCTAGTTTAAGAAATAAAATATTAATTTGATTCGTTTTTAATTCTGTACTCTTGTTTTTAGTTATCTCCGAGATGTGAAACTAGTAATTTTTGTATATATCACTATATTGAGTGTAATATTCATCAATTAATTTTGAAGTTTAATGTTTCTATTGAATTAATGTCCTTAAATAGATTCTTTAAGGTGTGATTTCAAGAGTAAACATAGCCTATTCTTGTAATGTTGCTGCATATCTCTTTTTAGTGCAGTATGATTCAGTTTACTGTTTTGATTAAATCCCAAATATTTATATTATTATTATTATTATTAAAAAATAAACCAACCACAATATGTTATGTAGAAATTTATTGAATATTATTTGTTTTTGTAATATAGTAATTTGGCTTCTAATACTTGAGACCGCTTTTCTTCATTTTCTATTTTTAGTTTCAATAATTTCATCTCCTCTTCATGTTTACTTAGAAGCAAATACTTCTCCATTTCCATTAAACTTGACTTATTAGAAGCCAATAAGGCGATATTTTCTCTTGCTTCCACAACAGCAGTCTTCTTTTTGTTTTTTAATAGTTGGTGTATTTCTTGTTACCCAGGATTGTTGACCATCTAAAAATAAAAAGCATATGAATGTTTTATTTTCAATAAATCAGATACTTTCATTTTTCTTTATGCATCTTTTGACTTGTAACAGTTAATTCAATAATTAAACATTGAGCTCAATTTTGTGTGAGCAAATAGATAAAAATAATTTTATTTTTTATAAATGGAACAGTCCATACTTGCAATGTTAAAATTGTTTTCCTTATCTTGCTTACCAAGTTCTCCTTGAATGGTAACTCTTTTTCAGCAGTGGTTCGAGTAGCTGAAAACACCATATAATAGTAAACACTACATTATTTATTTATTTTTTTAAACATACGAGAAGTGCTTACTCCAGATTATCCTCGAAAGCTACAAACAGCAATATTCATTACTAAGTCAAGCTAAAAAACTTATGTTGAAGATATTTAAAATTTACATTTGTTTGTTATACAAAAATAGCATAATTGTTTTAAAATTATTAACAGGTCACAATTATGAAATAAGTATTCCTGTCATATACAAGATGTAATTTATTCAAATTATTAATGAATATATTTAAATTTAGTTGCTTTATACAAACGAATATTAAACTCACCTGATGAACTAGAATTTTCTATTTGTTTCTCTATTTGCACTGAAGGTTCATTATCTGTAATAATGTTATCGTATAATATATACATATTATGTACCTATTTATTTGAGTAAAACGTTACTGGCCAAAGAGATATTGTACAACTATTAAAAAAATACTATGTAAATTACCTTCAAATTTGCTGTCACTATCGTAAATATTTTTAAGTGGTTTCATTTGTGGTTGAATATTGGATAATACTGTTTCGTCGATGTCATCCATTGTTTTTATGAATTCTCCACCTCCAGTTAGAAATCGTGATATTTTATCTGTTGCATATTTTTTTAGAAGTTCTTTTCATATTATCATATAATCTGAAAAATATTGAAAACTGTACAAATTCTGTCAAATTACATAAGAAATGTAAAATATACAAACCTTGTTAGTACCTACGTACATTATATAAATTTACCTTTTTAAGTAACCCATGTCTCGTTTCTGCACTTGTGTCAGAGAACACTATACCAACGAGAAACGACAGAATCGGCGGTTCCTTTAATCATTTTCGACCGAGCGGCCGAACTGAGCGGACGTGTTTATTGTGAAGTGAAGTGCATTGCAACGAGCAAGATCTACCTGCCTTTATTAAGGCTACCTGGAAAGAATCCCTTTCTTTCCTCTCAACCACCGACCTAATCCCCGGCTTAAGCATAGAGGCCATCGGCATCTTTGTTACAGGTACCTGTGCCGGGGTTATGCCCAGGTAAGTTTTTACTTTATTTGCATTATTTTAGAATACATTTCTTTAAAATTGCGACCCCCGACAAACAATATACCAGACAGACTAATACACCAAAAGACACGTACGCCCCCGTAAGGGGGCATCCCCACACGACTAA